ACGACGGGGGGCAAATGTTACTCTCTTTCGTTACGATCAGATAGCTTAAAGGCGTAGAATTCACTTCCTGCCTTCTAATCTTCTTATACCACGCGTGAGATCTCACGCGATAAGAATTTAATAATAATTTATTACGATTAAATCCATCTGGAGCTTAAATTATTATAGATATATTTATCATTTTCTCATTATATAAACACGACGAATATTATGTATTAAACATATTATGTTAATAATGATTATATTTATTACGTTTATTTATTATTTTTTGACATATACATATTTTTTAGAATTTTTTTCGATACATTTTAATAGTAAATTTGCTTTAATTAATCACGTATGATTCGTGCATTTATCTAATTGTATAATTCAACAAGTTTGTTGTAATTGACTTCATATAAAATTCTGATTTATATGACAAACGAATTTTGCATCTGATTGTGCAATAGATATAAAAATGTATGTGTCAAATGCATGTTGCTGCAAGCACATCATGATTTCTGGACGTATTTTACATCAAGATTGGTCCGAAATATCGTTCCAGTTGATGCACGATGAAGCATTTAACAAATTCGATTCACCTTTTCTACTCGACTTCCCGATCGTCATTGTATTCACAGGATCGCACAGCAATCTAACGTGTATGGTATGGACCTCCGTTCTTTTTTGTGCGAAAGTAGCCTTTTCAGCCGTCCATTAACGTGCTGCTCGCCCTGTGGCATTCAAAGCAATCTACGCGCACGGGAGGATGTACTATATTAACGAATTTTCATTAATTTATTTTTTTTTCAGAGGGATATTCAATTACGCGTAATTTTATAAAATATCGACATAATGAATTTTATGTTTTATAAGCTATTCAGGTAAACTTTCAATTAGGATTTCTATTGATTCAAGAATTACGGGGACTTATAATAGATTTTACAGCATTAAGATTACATGCGAAATGTAAGATACTTTCAAAATTGAAAATATTTCTGAAACATTCTATTTGATATCTTTTGTAAAGACGTAAGATCAATGCGTTTCGAGTGTTTATAATCTAATTCATATGGACTTTATTAAAAGTGTAAAATCTCTCGATAAATCGTATATTGATCAGTCTTTATTATAAAGCATATAGAATGTGCAAAAGATTATATTATTATATTATATATACATATATATTGATTATTTTAAGAAAACAATGTAAGATAAATTTTGAAAAAATCTTTTTCTAGATAAAATATATCTTGTCATATATTTTTAATTTTGCCACTGCCAAAAAGAATAAGCGATTTATATAAAAAATACGATAACACCTTATTTTAAGATAAAAATCCACACTATATAATTGAAAAAGTTCCTCTTCTGCGTATTATTTATATGATTAACGATTACCATTGTTTCAAACGGTAGCAATAAATCATCGCGTCTTAACGTGTAATTGTATCTTGGTTGTTTCGTGCTTCTCTTAGCAGTTATCCGCTCTAAAACCGGATTAGAGCTCACCCCTGAGGCGAGAACGACGAAATTGCGCGCTCTTGCTGGCCGTAAATACAAATTGCATCACGGATTACCTTAGACGATTATTTTGATGCAAGATGAAAAGTAGCAATATAATCGTTAACGGAAGATTTTATTTGCGACTTTAATTTGCAAAATTTGTAAACTATCTTTTTGTTTACAATTTTCAAGACGCAGAAAATATTTTTACGATATGAGAAATTACAATATTATGGAAGGATATAGTAATAATGCAGAAAATATTAATTAATTTCTTAAAAGTTTGCTTTGATCTTTATAATTTTTTTTAAAGTTTGATAGGTATTATATATTTTAATATGCTTTATATATTTCACTTTAGTATTAAATTAGCAAGAATATCTTTTTAATTAACGAGCAATAATCGAGCCAGTCTCAAGACTTAGAACCATTAAGAATCTAAAGAAAAATTACGCCGCGAGAACTTTAGTGGTATCTGTTAGTGGTTCAAGAGGTTCAATGAAACGAGTGTCGGATAATTAATTCGGGTGACCTCTGCATCCCAGGCGGTAGCACCCTGGCAACTCCTTCCTTTCCGCTCGTTCATCGTCTTTTTACATCCCGCCGACTCGCCGCCGCTGTTCGCTCGTCGATCGTATCGTGCCGCGGGTGATTTTAAATCAGAAAGTTAATTAGACGCGTTTCGCTGTCTTTTATGTCGCTCGGCTACGTCCGTCCGTCGCGTCGCGTCATCCAGCTATCCCTTAAACGCGGTATGACGGAGAACGAACAACACACGGATGTGCGGTTTATATCGCCGTGAGGGGCTTGCATTATGCGAACTAATTAAACTCCAATCGATGCTGACACCCGACGTCACGATGGTGTTGCTCTCCTTTTCTTTCGCGTCGACATGCACGCGCGCACTCGTGTATAGGGTTCCCGAGGCCCGCTTTTCGTTCAAGTCCTTTTACCGTCTGGAACTAAGACAATCGAGACTCTGATGACATCGTAAGTCAACTCTAGATGTGTATCGAGATGAGGAAGTTATCCCCCTTATCCCCTGATAGAAGACATGGTACCTTAAAAGCGTGTCTCACGTTCTCAGGTCACGTTTATCGATCTGACTGATTGACTTAATTTTTTTTACGAGAACTGTATCACAGAAAGCGAACATGGTTGACGTAATGAGAATATTATAAAGACAATTCTCTCGAGACATGATACACTGCAAAATATATTACACATTTTGAAAGTTAAAATAATTTTCTATAGCATATCGTTGAATCGTATTATTGTAACATAATTTTCTTAAAAACAATCTTTATTTATGCCACTCTCATCTTTGCCATATTTTTCTACGATTTGAAGTTTATGACATGACAAAACGAGAAACGTTTTTGAAAGTACCTTTTGTGGGATCTGTCATAAAAGATATCTGAAAGGGCATTATTGTGAATGTGAATGTCATATATTAACGTATAATGAAGAAACGAGCGAATAAAAGGGCTCCGCGAGCTGGTAACTCAGTAGGGGACTCGGATAATTGGGAATCGTTTCGGACCTGACCTGTCAGCATCGCCACGAACCCGCCGCGCCGAACATGCTATGTTAATTCGACATAATTGGAGGGCTAGTTCACATTTCAATAGTAAATCTAGATTTCTCTTCACTTTGATTGGTCTAATCGTAATCCTACACTATTTTCTTTATGAATAATTTTTGTAGACCGATTTAAGTTTGGATAATAATTAAAATTTGTTTTCTTTTTTTACTTATATACATAAATTATTTATAAAGATTTATAATTCGTCACTTTCGTTAAAAGTATGAGCGAAAAAACAATACAATATAATATAATCTAATCTAATATAACGTTTGTAAGAAATATTATGCATATTATGATAAAATTTTGCTTACCTCTGCCACCGGCACTTTTTATCCTGTAACAGATAAAAATATTGATATTTTGTGTGTGCATAAGAAATCGTTAGCAATTATTTTATAAATATAATAATACAGTTATAGGTTTTTTCAAAGATGCATTATTTTAAAATTATGAAAATTATACGAGTACAGTGGTGAGTTGAACATAAATCAGCAATGGCTACTCATACATCAGAACTTATTATATAGAGACGTGTACCCTAATCATTCTAAATAATCACCATTTTTTTGTGGAAATTATAAGTGAAGAAACATGCAGAGAGATTGGCAATCAAGTTTAATAAATCATCTTTCACAAGACGAATATCGTTCGGAAAGGAGGATGAGAAAGATCGCGATCACGAAAATTCTCGTTTCCTGTCTACCCAGGAATTTTAATCAAGATCCAATGCAGTTGTAATTCTTTCGTAATGGTGCATGTGTACCATTTCTTCGCTCTTCTGCTCTTTCTAAATTCCGTTAGTCTATCACTTGCCGGATTTGTACCGAATCGCCCTAGTTAGCGACTGTTTCATTCTCGTTCTTAATATCGATCGGCTCATCCGATTACGTATCACCGGTAGGTGGTAATTTAAGAAAGTCGATCAAACGGCTGCAAGATGAAACCATAATCAACTCGCGAATCTGTCGGTGCGGTGATCCGTATCGAACTGTTTCACCGCTTCTTCGCGAGACGTTCGAAAGAAGCATTCTTGCGGAAATTGAAATAGGTAGCGTTTATATACGAGAATTTCAATTTAGTCAAGCATTAAGATCAATTAATTTTCTTCAAAAATTTGGGAAGAAAAGTTTTCGATAATCGATTCTCTATGCTGTACAGAGAAATCTTTCATTGTTTTTTTTTCTTTTGCTTACTTTAATGAAAATATGTACGAGTACATTTATGAAAGATTATGGAGATGATACGAACCTTCGACAATGAAGGAGGGTCATCATCACCACAGCCCCGATACCGGCTGATACTAAGGATACTATCACTAGAGTCAGCACCCATCCAAGTTCTCCAGGAGCTTCTGTAAAAAATCAGAAATTATAGGTTCAATATTATAAATAAATTGAGGACATTTAAATCAAAAAATTGATAAAATATGTAAAATTTCTTAAGTCAGAATTTTGGCGTTACAAAAATTAATTAGTATTTTATTCATTTTATTAATATACAAACATAATTTATTTAAAATTAAGTACAACCAAAATTAATTTAATAAGGGGAGAAACAGAAAAAATATTGAAAGCAAAAAAATCCGAAGTCAGAATTTCTAGATTTCTGTTTCAACGATAACAAATACAGATATGTAAATCTGTTTTCGCCAAAATTATGACATTTAATGAATGACTTTTTGCAGTTTTGTTTTTTAGTTTCATCTTATTATCGTAATTTCTTATGCGGGTCTTTACCGAGTATATACATATATGAATGAAACACGAGCATCATATAAATCGGTTCTCGAGATCTTCGCGCGAGCGCCCGTAATTGGCTTGCAGTCTCATCCGGCGCGTCCCGTTTCCGCGCAGCGGGACACCCGCAGGTTTATTAGGCGTCCTTCGCTATTATTCCTGCCACACACCTACCGAAAGCACTCTTCGTCCTTTACCTATCTCACTTATCCCATTGAAATCGTTCCATCGCGAGGCCGCGCAGCGGCAGCTATCTCGCGCACCGAGATCTTAACGAGACCTCAGATTATCGTCCGTGCGAACGTAATTAAGAGAATTGCACCGCGGGTTTATGGCGAGGGAACGGCAGCGACGAGCGAGCGTATGACGGAAATAATGAAGGTACTAGTAGATTCTTTTGTCGGCGGATCAATCAGGAGATCGTTTCCTGAATGTAACCGGCCTTTAAACTGATTCATGGTCGGCAGCTAATGATTTTTCGTGGCTTATGCTTGAAGCTTAAAGTACTTATGCGTTTGTTAAATGATTCTCGATCTTTGATCAGTTGTTTGTATAGCCGTTCTCGTTGGATAGCTAGCTTCGAGCGAGATAATCGCGCGCCACCGAGCGGTTTTTTCCTCGCGTTCATTAGTCGGGTTTTAGAGTTTGTCGCGTTATCGTCAAATATCTTAAGCTCGCACAGAATGTTCTTGATCGGTTCTTATTTAAGGTCTTAATCGCGATGACTCTCCCCTCGGATAGACACGAGTTTAAACGTTAAAATGGAGATTAGCAGTGGACGCTCGTGGAATTACGAACGAGAAAACGGGATAATTAGATCCCGCTGATCGCGAGATTATTCGCGAAAAGGACGCGCTTCAACTGTGATTACGTTCGCTCTTTACTCGCAGCAGTTTTCAAATTTCGTCAAGCAGCTCTTTTATTTGAGAACCTTCCTAAGTATGCTCGCTCGGAGAGGTAGATTCATTACTCCCTTGTCACGCGGCTCTCTTCGTGCCGTCGGTCTACCTACGCATACGTGGGTTTATATGTACTTCAAGTTGTCGACACTGCAATCGCTCAGAGTCTGGTCAGAGAGCTTGGAAAAGGGACATCAAAGGGAAAGGAAGTTGTCTAAGGGTGAAGAAGTCGCCCGTGATCGAGAACTGGTACTCGACTCTGCATACGAATGCACCGTTAATGTTGCTTCTTCATCATTGTAAGGCAATCCAGGTATATAAAGGTATACAGGACTCGACAGCAACTTTTCAACGTTTAAAGTTAATAATTTTTAGCCTTTATATAATTAAATGTAACTAAACAAAAAAGAATTAAGGAAAAGAGATCTGTCTCCTGCTTTGCATAATTCATACTTTTTCAAAAAAGATAAATAATTTTAAACGAAAATTTATTCTGCCAAGTTATATACCAGTATCTAAAAAATTGAAATATTAGCATTAAAAATAGATAAATAACTAATGTTTTGAAACTAATTATTTTCGAAAGCCTTGAATAAAGAGCGTAAACAAACAGAGAAGACATTCCCTATGTAATGTATAACTTCAAAAAATTAACAGATATTTCTGAATACTATCTTAAGTAGAAAGAAAATCGTAGAGAAGAATGAAGTAGAAAAAGGGAAACGCGTTTAACACGTCGACATATAGCTTTAAATTAAAGACAAGTTGCATGGATATGACCGGAAAGCCGAAGCGAAAGAGAGAAGAGAGAGGAAAAGGCAAGACGCCCGTCTATCAGCATCACGTTCCTGACATGAACATAACAGCGTGCACGCTGCGGTTGATAACGCTTACAAGAGAGTTATCAATCATCTCACGCTGAGATTGACCACCTAGACCAATGCGTGTTAATGTCGGTCAGCGTGCGCGAGTTCCCTGTTACAGTTATCTCGGTAAATTGTTTTGATCTTTGCACAAGCCGAGCTAGTTAGGTAGTCTCTTCAACCTGTATGTCAGAGTTAATAACCTTTTGCAAGTCTTCTCTGTCTCATTAGCAACTAAAATTTAGTTACGTAGAGAAATTACATTGAACTAAATATATTATATACTATGTTCTTACTTTTTCCAATTTAAATTACTACATTTCGTCAAACACGTTTATTTATAAGAAAATAGTTTTATAATGCTGTATCTAACATCTTAAAAATCAAAATACAGTTTTAGAAATCGTTGAGAGACAATTATTCAAATTTCGAACAATTTCTATACAGGGTGAGGCATTTATAGTGACGCGGGCGTATTTCTCGGAAACAAAGCGAGATATTAAAAAATGTTTCAGACAAAAGTTGTTTGGTTCGAAGGGGGACATAAGATGGTGCCATTGATGTGACCTTGGATAGTCATTTAAAGGTCACATGAAGGTCACTTTCAATTTCTTAAATGGAACTGCCTACTTTTTATTGCATATTCTTGTAGCTTAATTCAAGAGCTTTTCAAAACACTATAATAAAGTATTTTTTCATTAAGTACTTTTTGAGTTATTTTATATTTTAATCTGACATATTTTGATAAAAAAATTAAAATATCTCGTAAAATATTTAGTTTTCGATAATCTTACCGTAACACTTTTATGTACAGAATAATGAGACAAATCAATATATAATAAATATTATCTATTTAGCGACGATTAAATTAGAAGAAAAAGTTACTCAGAATTATGTCCTTGTTTAATATCTCGCTTCGTTTCCGAGAAATACGCCCGCGTCACTATAAATGCCTCACCCTGTATATACGGGTCCCGTGATTCGGTTTCGAAGTCTCTCGACGAGATTTTGTTGATAACTGCTTTCTCCTTCGTTGGATATTTCTCTAGACTTCGTCGATAGTCGTGCGCCTACATTTGTTACATTGACTTGGCGATCACGTCGTATGTATTTTATATTCTCGCATGTATTCGTCTCGCGCGAATTCTCTTTTTACTGGTCTCGCCGTCAAGAGATCGTTCCGCGATCCATTTCGACAGGTGGTCCAGAGCCCGCCTCGTATTTCAGGATTCCGGACTCCAATTACGGACCCGCGCGAATAACCGGGCACTCCTTCTCTCTTGCTCTCTCTTTAGCTTTCTCGCGATCCAGACCAGGATCTAATTTTCGATCCGTGGGGGGTCAATACGTGGGATGCCAAACCGCGGCATGTCGAATATTATGCACACTCGTTTTTACACGTGTTCGCTGCCACCATCAAAGTTCGCGCGATCACGCGATAGTTTGTCCCTACGGTTCGGCATAAATAAATGGCACGTCTTATGATCTCGTTTTACATGGTTTTTATATTTGACAAAATTGGAGTATGGTTTGCATCGCGGCGACGTCGCGATTATTAAAAATTGATTGCATGATTTATGTATGGACATTCGTGTTCATTTGATCGTCGCGGCTCATTACATCGCTTGATTTGCACACGCCTGTGGACATTCTGATTCGTATCCGTTTAATGCTTGTTATTACGGCATTCTGTGATTTCTGGTTCCAGTTTATCGGGCAAAGATTCGGATACAGGTGCGTGTAGCTCATTTCCAATTTGGACTTTGGTTAAAGAACTCCATGTGTTCAATCAAGTAAGATGGCACTTTGTGTGGTCATTATGCAAATTAGCAATTACTTGTTCGTATAGACATTCGCACAAAGATTGCCGGCTTTAAACGATGTAGCTCGTTTAAGAGGCTCTCGATCGATGAGCCGAGCGTGTTCAATGACATGTATGAGTACGACATATTTTACCCTAATTACGTAGCATGTTCTCAAGTTATTATATCTCGTAAGAGTTGCGATCGCGATGCGACAATGTATACAATTTTTGATGTATCAAGTCTTCACGCATAAGCAAGATAATTAACGCGACTTTTAATATAAACAATAAAATATTAATAAAAAATATCTAAGATATTTATATGAAAACAGCGTAACATTAATTGACTAATCAATCTGATGTGTGTGTGAAAATTGCCATAATTTTTTTAATCAAACGATTAATCGGAAATCTAAATTTCCATTTAACTATCGCTGGCAATTGACGACGAAACAACATCGCAAAATCTGCATTTATTTATAAAATATAGCATACGAATGAAGAATAAAAGCCGGACAGACAACGAATATTTGACATGGTCAATTTGAATGGCAAGCGAGAATGCCCTTTCGGTCTTTCTGCATCGTGAAATTATGCCGCGGCTCAAATATGTATAATTACAGCGAGTTGTTATTACATTTGCTCGAGAATTTCCTCTGTCCTTGTGCGCTTTCCAACTTAAACGCTCTTCAACCGCGTCAAGGTAATTAGAAATTTACCTTAATTACATTCTTTTCACGATAAATATGCATCTCTGGACCGTCAAACGAAAAATTGCATCTTTTAATATACCAATATTTGTTTCGGATGTTATTAACGTCTTCCGGCGACGTCATTTTTGTTTGTGAATTATTGCGTGTACTGTCTTCGGTATTCTATAATGAACATCGCATGTAAATTACAAGCAAGTAGTAAAATACAAGAAAAAACCATATGAGGATCTGCCGCAATAATGCAATTTACTTTTTTGTATTTTGGTGACGGATATTTGTTAGAAAATTGTTTCCCGGGTTCGCAATCGTCAATAGCGATAATAATGTCAATAATTC